ATGTTCTGGGGAAGCTGGCCACCCACAGAGACAACCACACCAGAGGCTTGCTCCAGTTCGTAAATGTCCATCACACGCTCATAGCTCAACTCCTCGAAATAGAGCTTGTCAACAACATCGAAATCGGTTGATCGAGTTTCCTAAAATCAAATCTCAATGTTAGCATAGCGTACAATAGAAAAAAAAAGTAATTGATCAGCCCAACAACCGAGCGTGAGAGTGGAACCATACCGGGTTGTAGTTGATGACGATGGTCTTCTCGCCCATTTCACGGAGAGCCTGGGTGGCAGCAACACCGCACCAGTCGAACTCGACGGAGCTACCAATACGGTAGACACCGCTTCCGAGAACAATCTTTCCGTGGTCCTCAAAGGTGACATCGTGGGATGAACCGTTGTAGGTTGTGTAGAGGTAGTTGGTGTCGGCGGGGAACTCGGCAGCGAGGGTATCAATCTTCTTGACCCAGGGGCGGATGCCGAAGCTCAGACGCTGAGCTCGCACGGCGTCCTCGGTGCTCTTAACAGCATTGGCGATCTGGCGATCGGAGAAACCCATCTTCTTGGCGCTGAGGATCTGGTCCTTCTTGAGGCCCTCGAGGCTTCCAACAGCCTCAAGCTCGCGGACGCAGTCGACCAAGTTCTGGAGCTTGTGCAAGAACCACTTGTCGATCTTGGTGAGTTCGTGAACCTTGTCGACAGAGTAGTTCTCGTGAAGCATAGCCTGACCAACGGCAAGCCATCGGCGGTCGGTAGGATTCTGGAGCTCGAAGTCAAGATCCTCGAAGTGGTCACCCTGGAATCCAACGAATCGGGGGTCAACCTGACGGATAGCCTTCTGGAAAGACTCCTCGAAGGTTCGGCCGATGGCCATGACCTCACCAACAGACTTCATGGCGCTACCAATGTCACGCTTGACGTGCTGGAACTTGGACAGATCCCATCGAGGAATCTTGGTGACAATGTAATCCAAAGAAGGCTCGAAGTTAGCCGTGGTCGTCTTGGTCACAGCATTAGGAAGCTCGGGTAGAGTGTGGCCCAATCCGATCTTGGCGGCGGTATAAGCGAGAGGGTATCCGGTAGCCTTGGAGGCCAAAGCAGATGAACGGGACAGACGAGCGTTAACCTCGATAACTCGGTAGTCAAGACCATCGGGCTGCAGGGCATACTGAACGTTACATTCACCAACAACGCCCAAGTGGCGGACAATCTTGATTGCGGCGGTTCGCAGCATGTGATACTCCTCGTCGCTCAGAGTCTGACTAGGTGCCACGACAATAGAGTCACCGGTGTGGATACCGAGGGGATCAAAGTTCTCCATGTTGCAGACAGTGATGCAGTTGTTGTTAGCGTCACGAACGACCTCATATTCAACCTCCTTCCAGCCCTTGAGCGACTTCTCGACCAGAATCTGGGGAGACAAGGTCAGAGATCGGGCAGCCATGTTTCGAAGCTCCTCCTCGTTGTTGGCGAAACCAGAGCCGAGACCACCCAGGGCGTAGGCAGCACGGACGATTATGGGGTAGCCAATGGTCTTAGCGGCGTCAAGAGCTTCCTCAACAGTGCCGACGGCAATTGACTTAGCAATGGGGATGTTAATCTCCTCGAGGGCCTTAGCGAACAGGTCTCGGTCCTCACTGAGCTCGAGGGTGCGGACGCTGGTGCCGAGGACTTTGACACCGTACTTTTCAAACAGTCCCTGTCGCTGCATTTCAACACCCAAGTTGAGGGCGGTCTGACCACCAAAAGAAAGGAAGATGCCATCAGGCTTCTCCTTCTCAATGACGTAAGAAACATATTCGGGGGTGACGGGAAGGTAGTAGACCTCATCAGCAAGGTTGTGGTTGGTCTGGATGGTGGCGATGTTCGGGTTGATGAGCACGGAAGCGACTCCAGCTTCCTTCAAGGCCTTGAGAGCCTGAGAACCTACATCGAGGCAACATCCGGTTAGCCACTATTCGCAATTGATCTCGTCTCACCAGGCCCGCTCAAACACTATCAAGAAAAGGCTTCGGTGACGAACCTGAGTAATCGAATTCACCGGCCTGGCCAATTGCTAGACCACCACTACCAATTACAAGAACCTTCTTGACATTGACAGTCTGCTTGGGCTTGATGACCCCGCTATCAAGATAGGCCCTGGGGTTGGGGGCTTCCTGAGTAGAGGCGCTATAAGGGCGGACGATAGATACCGTTCCCAGGCGCTTCTGGAAGTTCTGGCTAGATTTCAAGGCCGTCCGGGTTTGGCTCTTGAAGGCAGCTGTGGTGAAGGAGCGAGCAGCCAGAGTTTGGGGGACTCGGCGAGGACATCGGAGGAGGGCCGGAGCGCGCCCAGCGAGCACAGCGGTGGTGAGAGGCATCGCAGCAGATCAATGCTTCCGTGGCACTGATAGGCAGGCTGCCTGGTGGTTGCGAGTTCCCAATTGAAGGCTGCTTGATAGTAGATATGCTAGGCAAGCAGAAGGGAGAGTTCGCGGCCAGTGTCGAGGAAGTCGGTGACTTTTTAGCCTGAGCAGAAGCCTGGTGGGGGGGAATGGCCCTTGAGAGGGTGTGGGCAAAAAAAATTTGGCGGAGCCTCTCAGAGTGGTGCTGATAGGCGCTGATAAGAGAGCTCACTAGGGTTATCTGAGGCTAGCTCCCAGGGCTGCTCCCAACAACTTCAATACTAAACGCAGATCCGAACCGGACTGGTGACCACGCGACAGGAGCCAATGCACGCTCTTAGGATGCTAGCACGAAAAAAAATCTCATTTGCGGTAATATCTCAGGTCCGCCGTTGTTCGGGAGGGTCAATTGGGTCACTGCGCCGAAACCTATACCTGCGATGACTCCAGTTGCAGACGCGCATGTCATTGCCCCCCCAGCCCGTCTGTGTTACTCAGACAGGCTCCGACACCGCAACTCTTGTCCAAAACCCCGGATCCTTTGGCCAGCACCCTGGCTAGCAGGAAGTGATGATGCAAGGTCCGGGGAGCCAGTGCCTGGTGCAGTTGATCCTGGCTGTGATCAATTTACTTATTAATCCTAGCAGCACATTGGTCGACAAAGTCGATTCTTACACGTCCATCGAATAATCTGGCCATTTTCATTATTTCACCCTTTAGACACCACCTCCCTACCTCCTACATGCACCTAGGTACTTTACCTTGGATGCTTCGTGTCCTGATCGCCCACGATAATCCATGCAGAATTGCTGACAAGTTCTTCCGAGGCACCTACCCTGTAGATATTCGTTGACTTACACCCCATCTGCAACCTACCGACCAAACGTTTTTCTCCCGCTCAGATTTATCGTCTACCTTTGACTCTTCTTGTTGTGTAATTAGTCATGCGTAGTCAGAGGCCGAAATCAGACCTCAATGGCCATCTTGTTGCTCGATTGGTTACAGTGTTTGAGTGCTCTTTTGGTATTAAACAACCCACTCGAAATCCAAATGATATAACCAGTGTATTTTAAGACCGTTACCAAGCTCACGTATATCATTTCTTAACTAACATGAGAATATCTGCGATTCCCTTTGGCTTGGAAACTAGCTCATCCAAGCTACAATAATCTCGAAATAACACACGAGCTGATGGAAAGACGCCAGGTACTTGATCTTGCATGTACTTGTGCCCCAGAGTCAAAAAAATAAGGCCACTGCCCCAAAGCAACTCTTTCACACCTGAAAATGGTTCTAGAAGGATGTTGGAAAGAGCGAATACTCTACAATGGCTAGCTATTGTCTCCGGGCACTTACAGACAACATTCATTAACCCTCCAAAAAAAAAAGAAGAAACCGAGAAAAAAAAAACATACAACAGCGGGTATTCGCTGGTCGTCACCGACCCAACTACTAATCCACCCCTCATCCGTTTAACTAGGCGAGAGCGGACGGGATCGCGTGTTTTCGAATGGGTATGGTCGTATGTGGTGGTTGAAGCTATCGTGGGAGCTATATGCCCTAGTCCCCACTTATACACACAATGATAACATGAAGCATTCCACCTAAAAAGATATACAACAACCGGTATTCGCTGATCTTCACCGACCCAACTACCAATTGCCCTTCATTCGTTGTTTAGGTGAGAACGGACGGGAGTTATACATCGCGACTCACCGAAAACCAGGAATCATCAGGCCTATGGCTAGAAAACGTTCCCATCACGATCTCTGAGTGATGTAAAAAGACTCTGGTATCCGTAACACTCAATGGTACAACCCAATATATGTATTATCATTGGAAATACTTAGATTACCTAACGTACCTACATATCATAACAATGCCCATTGTAAACCTTAAGCCCCTCTCGATATCCGCTAGAATATCAAATGGCCCCTAAAATTATCCATTATCACGCCGAGGGGATGGAAACACTGTCTCCGACGGTATCTCACCTCACATCGTGTTATAAAAATGGGACTACTGGATATGTCACCGCTTGAGGCAGTCTTATTTCTTCTCTGGTTGAAAGCGCTGTATCTAATTCTCAGACCCTCGCCTGTCCCTACCCCGCCGCTGCTGAGGCTCGCTCCCGAGTACCTTCTGTTAATTAGAGATGAGCTCTCGTCGTCTCCCGACTCCATCATCGCTCTCGCGCTTACCTGCAAGGCACTTTTCCGGCTGTACGCGAGCGATGTAGCAAGATACAGAGGCAAGAATGCCTCAAACCTGTTGCTGCTGTTGGAGAAAGACCTGGGTGACAGACTCTTTTACTGCCCGCCGTGTAATCGACTCCATGGCTTCTCGTCAACGTGGAATCCTAAAAGTTTCAAAACTCTCCCTGCGACCGTGATCAGATTTTTAACCCAAATTCCGGAAGTGACTATAACCTGTAAGTGATTGTCCTCGCTTCGTCACTGACCATCGACGCTGGCGTTGAGGCTGATATTAAAGGGGCGTTGGCAGGCGCTTTATGCAAGCGTATCTGGTCATGAATCGTCACATCCATGGTCCCTCAAAAGGATTGGCTTTACAGTCCCTCACTAAGACGTGTTGGATGATGAGCTGAGAAGATGGTCTAATGTGGAAGCACGAATCATCCGCAAAGATCATAGGCACCGATCTCTTTCTTCGGGTCGTCCACACGATAGAGGGGAAAGCGAGCAACGTCCGGGATGCGATCGACGAAGGAGACCATTCCGTCTGCATGCACGTTACCACGGACTCGGTCGACCTGGTTCACAGTTACACCCGCTGCATGCGTACCGGCCATACACTAGCAGCACTCAGGGACCCTCAAGTGAAAGAGCGCAGATGTGGTCTTGCTACCTTGTTGGGTCAACCGACTACTTTCTTCCAGGAGTGCAAAGATGCGCCGGGGTTCTGCCCGGTATGCCTGACCGGTTACACAACCACAATTGAGCAAGCAAAGGTGACGGAAACATACTGGCAGACAGTTGACAGATGGGTACAGAAGGGCTTTGGAGCACAAAACAATAACAACAGAATACTAACTTCATCATAGACATACTTCAAACCGACGTTTGATGGTGTGCGAGTTTCAATCACCGCTTACCATCAGTTGGGATCTTGTAGAAACACGGACGATTGGAGGTGGCGGGCTCTGGCCGACTTGTACGTCCCGCGCCACGATGATATTGAATGCCGGAGTAGCAGTCTGCGGAATCTGCGCCGTTACCCGCCTGGTATCGTGAAACGTGCATGGCAAAAACAAGAACAGCGGCTAGAGACACGATGAAGTTAGCTCAAATGAAACCCGGGCATTATCTCAATAAGAAAGCCTCGTACCAGACATCATTTATGACATAGGCATTGTGTATATGTAAGCTGTTGTGATGTCGCCAAGCGTGCGTCTGCTTGGAAAGAAATCAGTCTGAGGGCAGTGGAATTCGGATGAAGTAAGGATTAAGACTGCTGTTGGCTCACCTCAACATTGGTGTGATAACGACTGCAGGAACACGGCCAACTCACTTGGGGTATTGAAGACACCCTGGTTGAGCAGACAGACACCATGATTACTGCAAAATCCATTTTATCTTTTAGACTTCGGGACCCTTGTTGTCGCTTATACAGAAAAAGAGGAGGCCTTTGGATACAAAACCGCGATGTCAATTGGGAGCGGCGAATGCAATAAATGGTCAGAATGCTTCCGGAACTTCGTTGATATTTAGCCGAGAATGTGGGAATCTCATCTTTGAAGCCGTGAACCATTCGGCGGGATCTGCACGCAAAGGAACCCGGTTTTGGCGATAGCTCAGGGACGCGGAAGCTCTGTTGACGGGAAAGTGAAGAACTGCATGGGTATGTGTACCTAAGCTTTGTCTAAATATCGAGATGTGGTAATTCCGGAGTCGAAAATTGCAAACGAGTTTAAGTTTGGGCTCATTAAGGAAAGTAGAAGTGGTCAAGTTACCATCACCACGGGGCACCTTGATTTGGCTTCACGACCTAAGACAGACTATGCTGCGGGGTCTACCCCTGACAATATTGGATTCTAGTTCATACACCTCACACTTAATGGGTGCAATAAACATGTGTTTTGGCTGTTGCGCGTAGTTAGTCGACGCGGACTCCATCACGACGCTTGCAACGACAGTCTGAGGCACTGAGGCAATGCCCAGCCATACACGGTGGATATTTTCATCTCTGAATCTGAATGACATCTATGACAGTCGAGGAATTGGGAATTCATTGACATGGGGACTGGCATCGATGCTACCAACACCATGAATAACGATCCGATGACAACGCAGATCGCGATACTGCCCTTGAGACTCTTGGTAGCAGGTGACAATTTCAAGAGCCACACTTACCAAGGGAGACACCATTCGCGTTCAATATGACTGGCCAACTGACGATGCTTCCTTTGCGTCATCTTCTGTCTGGAATGTAACAAAATTCCCCTCTCACCAACATCCACGTCGGAGCCAGGAGAACCCGAAGATCCTACAAGCTCAATAGCTCTTAGCATTCCTCGTACCTGGAGCTCCCTCCCAAAATGGACCGAAGCTGTTTACAACGCATCTGAAAACATCTGGGCATCTTAATTTCCAGTGGGGATTGAGACAGTTTCGTCTGACAACAGGGTCCACGATGTAAACGTTCATCGATACCCGCATTCCGATCAGAATCTTCCCGTCTCCAACCCACCAGACTTTCGCGATCACCATCCGAGTCTGGATTCCACATACGAAAGCACGGTGAACATCACTCAGCGCCAATACTATGGCACATTCGATCAACATGGGGTGGTATAGGCTGCAGAATACGTATATAACAGCCATGGATGGCCCCCCAGAACAACTCTTCTTCTCAGCATCAGACTCCAACTTCCAAAACAAACAAGTCTGTCACAAAACTGCTCTCTCTTCTCTGGCCTCTTACAACCTGAACTTATTTCACAAGATCCCATCCCCCATCTGAAATCATGAAGGTCAACGCTGCCTCCATCGCCCTGGCTTGCCTTGCTGGCAACGTCATTGCAGCTCCCGCTGTTGGCTCCTCCGCCGTCCAGAACGTACAGAGCGTCCATGTCCCCTCTGTCCCAGCTGTCAACGCTGGAAGCCTGAGCAAGAGAAACGAGGACCTCGTGGCCCAGCTCAAGGAGGCTCTCCAGGCCACCTCAATCGTCTCCCGAGACACCTCGCTCACCGACCCTGCCGGTCTGACCAATGTCCTCTCAAACCTCCTCAACAAGATCCTGGACACTCTCTCCAAGGTCCTCGGAGAGTGCGCTGGAAACACTGGCCTCAACCTGCGTGAGGTGTCTGAAGTCTCCGACCTCCGCCAGATCCTCAACAACCTTGAGATCGTCAAGCGCGATCTGACAGACATCACAGACACATCCGTCGCTCCCGGCCTCGATCTCCAGCAGATCGTCCAGCGCGTCATCAACATCCTCAAGGCCCTCCTGGGATCCTGCAACAGGGCAGGAACCAACACTGCCACCAACGCACTGGGCGGCCTCACGGGCCAGCTCCAGAGCATCCCCAACATCTCCCTGGGCAACAACCCCCTCCTCAACCTCCACCCCGATGCCCTGAACTCGCTCAACGGCATCGTTGGCAAGATCGGCACCACCAGGAACCCCCTCGGCCAGGGCGCTGCCCCTGACCTGCTCGGACTCGATGGCATCGTCTCCGGCCTTGGCCTTGGAAGCCTCGGCCTCCTTGGTGGCAGCAGCGCCCGACCTCTGGGCAACACCCTCGGGTCCCTGACCGGCGGCAACGCCCTGACCAACAAACTGGGCGGCGGCAGCCTGGGCAACATCCTCAGTCTCGGCCTGGGTGGCCCCCTCGGAGGCCTGGGCGGTGGTCTCCTGGGTGGCCTCCTCAACCCCCTCGGCTTCTTGAGCTTCCTCAAGCGTGACATGGAGACGAGCGAGATCGCTAACGGTGGGGTCCCAACTCTCGCCGATGCCCTCGCCAGCGTCTTCGGCTACGCCGGCTCCGGTGGCCCCATTGGCAACCTGGTCGACAAGCTGATCGCCTTCGCTGGCTTCGGCCTCAAGCAGGACCTCGAGGCCCGCAGCAGCGCAACCGACTCTCTCATCCCGACCGAGGAGCTCGTCGAGAACGGTTCCCTGTCCGCCGTCGGCCTCCTTGCCGTCCTTGTTGAGCTCGCACAGAACGGTGATATCAGCCAGTTCGACGCCATGGACAAGCCGGCCACTCAGTAGATACCTTGACTATTGATTTCCTCACTTGGGAATACCGCCCCAAAAAAGGGGTCAGCTTAGCCACTTCCTCGGTAGAGGCAAGTAGCATGTGGATATGAGGCGACGCGAGTTGGAATGCGACGCGCCCATTCTTCCTAGACATTTAATACATAATATTTCTTCCATCTACCAACCTCTCCTTCCTGCCTGTGGTTTCTACAAAAGCCCCCAAGTGAAATATAAGCTGCTTTTTCTTCATTCTAGCAAACTCTCAGTTGAAGGTGACTTTGCATGAAAAATATCTAGGTAACACTTGACAACGCACTTTCGATGAAAATATTTCCAAAAAAAAAGGCCAATTCATGTTCATGTCACCAGTCATGTACAGCTCAAGCGACTGCAGATATAGTGATGTTGAGAGTTTAACTCTTGTTTCACTGCCCAAGACTTACTTACACTCAGGCTCTCGGTCTATTAAGTCCAACGGAAAACAATTATGAATTAGTAGTGTTTATTTGAAGCCTGGCTTGCGCTGCTAGATCCTCACACAATTTCCCGCGTACCTTTATTGACTAAACAGTCTCCTGAAAGTCACAAGAATGATGGTCCTTCTAACCTAACTACCTAAGCACATGCCGAGAACATACTAGGAACATACCCAGCACATGCTAAGCATGTAACAAGCATATACCACGCATATCCAATGACATCACTAGCCATCTGTTCTTACGGAGAATCAAAGAGCTCATCGTTTAAGAATAAGTAGCATGGAAATACTTGATGAGAAAGTAGAAAGTACCTAGGTAGATAAAGAAATGTTTGTCCCTCCATCAGACTTGCTAGGCTCACATTGATAATCCTAAACTTATCTAGTGTTTTAAAACCACGACATCGCAATGATAAAGATGATGGCGAGATGACGAATCGTCTTTCTTTAAAACTGTATTTTGCAATGCTGATTTGCCCTTCCTATTATGCTATGCCTCTACCGATTTGACCCGCGCGCCACTATTGAGATATTGGGTAGGTAACTCCTTATTCATTATGAAACCAATACCCGTAACATATCCTGATTTTATTTTTTTGGTGATTGAAAATAACCAGCTGGACTGACGGATGCTGTTAAATGACAGCGCCTTTCACTTGCTCCACAACTCCTTGAACTCATTTCCATCCCCAACTGACAACTACGATGACGATGGCGGCGGCGGAGCCTTGGTTTTTTCTATTTTCTGGACGGCTGCGGTAGGTAGGGATGCTTCGCGAAGCGTTCGGACTTCATTCAGCCTGAAGGCAGCAAATCTTTTAGCAAGTGGCTCATCCGATTCGCGGAGAGTGGGTTGTGTAAAAGTAGAAGCAGGCGCTGGGCCCGAAAAAGCATTATCGCGTTGGCGCTTGGGGATTCTCTCACCAGTCGATTGGATAATGGCCTGCAGATTCTGCCAGCCTTCCGTTGAGCTAAGTTGGAAGGATTCGGCCAGGTCATGTTGGCTGGCTACGCGGCAGAGGAGAGCAGCTTCGTCCTGCAGGAGGTGGATTAGTAGGTTAGAATAGGACGACCCATGGAAGGGGAGGACGGAATGGAGTTACTGACCTTAGACAGGATGCTCATTTGATAAATGAAGCATAGTAGATGGAAGTTGGACAGCCCCTCACCGCCGTCCTGGGGATTCTGAGCACGAAGGACCTTGGCAAGAGCCGATGGCTCCTGGCTTTCACCAATATATTCTCGGTTCTCAATTGGGAAACCTGGCTGAGTGAACATCGGCTTTGGTTGAGCGGGGAAGCCATGAGTCAGTGTAACAAAGAGGTATTCGACAGGGAAAGACGGCTTCGCATTCTCCTGCACATTGGCGCCATACTCGTTTACCTTGCGATAGAAAACTTCGGGGATATATCTTGTTAGGCTGACAGAGCCGTCATCTTCCTCTTCCTCGCGCACAAGCATGACTGTAGGGTCTGCCGAAGGCTCAACAATATCGGCCCTGACCATTTCGACAGCCTCATTGGACATCTGGTATGGTGAAATAGAAATTTCGCCTTGTTCGTTGCCCGAGACAATGCAGGTCACAAAGTTGGATCCAAACTTGCCGGTGTCGCTCCACTTTGAAGGCTTCGGGTACTGAGCCTGTAGTCTTGACGAGAAGCAGATCTCAAGAGATGACAAAAAGTAAGAGTCTGCATGACGCTTGCATACGACAGAGCCATCCCCATGTCCAGCATCCACCAGATCGGTCCAGATTACACCTAACGGTTCCAATCCACATAGTTTGGCGACTTCTTCGACCTCCTTCTGATTTTCCCATGCGTTTTGGGTGATACCATCCAGCTCATCGACTTGTGGGGGCTCATAGATGGCTTCGACGACTGCCTTAACACCAAGTGGAACTTCAGTGTACTCTGCGTATCTGCCATAAAGAAACCCAAGCCGTTGAGCCCCAGTCCTTCTCCACGCATCGATGAATTTATCGATAATTGCTGGTGACGAGAATTCGACGTGGTCCACCATACGGAAGGGCTGAGGGTTAAGAGTGATAGCGCTGGGCTGGCACTTGGTGCAAATGCCCTCTGGCCAAGGCGGGTGGCCGGAGGGACACTCGTGTCTAACTCTGTAGAAGGGCTCTACAAGAGGTGGGATGTATGAGGCACCGAGTTCGGGCTTGTTGGTGGCAGCGTTGACCTTGCGCAGATGGGCATGGAAAGACGTATACTTGATCTTCTTGTCGGCTAAATAAGTTGCATCGAATGGATCCAGAGGTTGACAGTAGTCGCACATTCCTTTGGGGCCATGGCGGCACATCCTGTTCCGCCCCCGCGGGATCTTTCCATCTTGGCGATCCAGACGGTCGTCCAGAGGCGACTGGCGGACCAAGTCCCAGGGTCGTGCTATCCGTTGTTCGTGACTCACATCTACAGGCACGTCTTCTGTGGGCAGGACAGGCTTTCCGTTGAGTCGTGCTGTCGTCGTCTTTGGTTGGGTTTCGCCGTTGGAACCGGAGGCATCGGCATGTGTGTAGTTGAGAAAGATGAGATCGCCGTGTCTAGAAATGTAATGTGAGCCAAGCCGAACAATCCATACCCATACCGACGAGAACGTACTTGAGACCAATAGCTCCGATCTTCACATTGGCTACCTCAGCTATCCTTTTGGCGTCGCTACCTGTGGGTGAATTTGACAGCGTAATGGATCTAGGATCGATCGTCTTGGGTAACTGCTCGAGTAGCTGGATACGGAACAGCAATGTTAGATTAATGCGCAACACGAGTAGCTTGCTGATCCATTCTCACCAAGTGTCCCAAGTCGGAGAAACTCGTCGTAGGCTCGACCGTCACGCGGAAGGTGCCATCCGGACCCCGACATCGTAGAAGCATCGTGAGCGTGAATAGGTGACAAAGTGTCGGTAGCTTTCACTCGAGAGTCGATCGCAGGAAATAGTTCCTCTCCTCGGAAGATCGGAGAGGAAGAGGTTGTAGCTTCTCCAAGCCTTCTCAGATCTGATAGAAGGCGAGGGGAAGACTGATATGTTTGCGCTTAGTTGAGGTGATGGAAGGTAGTCGATGCGTGGTGGAAGCCGGAGAGCGTGTATGATACTGCCGTGGGGTAAATAGTGTGGAGCTTGGCCGAAGCTTTAGCACGAGCGTCATTCGCACTGATTAGGCAGACTGTTTGTATGGACGGCAACTACGTAACGCCTGTCACTGAGTGCTTACATAACACACCCGGCCCAGTGTTTCTGTGTGCCGTGGCTATACTGAATATGGCATGGTGCCCTTTGCTGCGAGCTGTCCCGAAATAGCACATGTGCGTGCCTTATGTAAGCTGCCCCTCGAGACAAGCCAGCGTGTACATTAGAGGTACCTACTGAGGTACGTACCTGCATTTCCGCCAAAATGCGCCCAGCGTGCGTGCTTCGGGCGCTCGAGGTGCCTGGAAGCACTGTCCGACAGCGCCTGTGGCTATCTGTCCAGAAGTCGAAATCGCATACCAACGGCAGTTTACGTTCGCGGACTTGCCCACACAACTCACACCTTTCCTTCTCTGTCACGCAACGGCCTGCGACTCACCAGAGTAGTCTTTGCATTATCCGTTCTATTATTTCTATTCTCCTCATTCATTTGCTTCTTTCGAATTTACAATGATTCCCGAGATCGACTGGAAGGGGCTTCTGCTCCCCTTCGCCTATGTCATCGTTCTGGGCGGCGCCCTCATGACATTCTCGACAATCTACCGCAAGCGGAAAGCTGGTGAGTGAACCTCAATTCCCTCCCTGTTCTCTAAAGCCCGCCGCTCTCCCTATTCCTGGGCCGGCAGCTTGGAACAATGATGCATGCTGTCTCTGTAACTCGACTAACACGGCTGGCTCCGTCCCGTTTTCGCAGCCCAGAGTGCAAACCTTGAGCCCTGGTTCAGCCCACACCTGCAACGAAACATCTACCTGAGTCTTCTCCACCTGTCCCCCGAGGACGGCGGCGAGAAGCGAGTCCCCGACAGCGTCCTCAAGGCCGCCCTATTGCGGCGCGCAGTCGAAGATCTCCATCGCCTGGTCCAGATCCGGTCCGCCAAGCAGGCCTGCAGCACGCTCCTCCAGCGAGGCAGCGTCGGAAACGATCTGTGGAAGAGGTTCCAGCGGGCCGAGAAGGAGATGGAGGAGGAGCTGCGCGATGTCGTCACTGAGGTAAGAGAGGAGACCACCTGTTCTCGGCCTCGTGGCTACGGAAAGAAACATGACGACTTACACAACGCTATAGGCTAATGCTCTTGCCCCTAACTGGGGCCAGACGATCTTCCAATCCGCCAACGAGATGGCGATCAACTACAAGGTCCGAAACCACGTGGACGACTTCCAGGTTCAGGCCAGAGCCGAACGAGAATGGTGGGACAAGAGACGCAAGCAAATCCGATCCGAGTTCATGAAGGAGTTGGACGACGAAACTGAAACCACCGAGACCCCCAACAAGCCTGCTAGTGACGATGAGGCGGTTCTCGTTGATACCCCAAGGTTGAAGAAGGCCGTGAGGAAGTAAACCTGTCCGCATTGCTAGATGGGAGGTTGAAGGGGCGAGCGAGCAGGAAAAGCATAGATGATATGTCACGCATCGTGTAAAATTGTTACTTTCTGCAACTTGTGCATGTGCCGGCGCATTTTTGGGGAGATATCTAGGCTGCACAAGAGGCGTTGGGGATTATTTAGTGAAGGCAGGATTTGAAAACAATCTAACGGTATTAATTTTTAAGGGGCAGGCTGCCAGACAATTGCTGGTACACCTAGGCCAAAAGTCGAACATCGCTGTGACCGCGGGCTGATGCTCCGATCATGCTCCAAGTAACAATTATAGTAAACCACCAAATGCTCCTCCGTCAAAGACAAATGCAAGGAAAACCCAACCTGAAGCTAATAGAAACCTCCCAGCTTTTCTCTCATCCCCCGTTCAGACGTCCTGCCCAGGCCAAGGGTAGTTCTTGCGCCTCCACATCTCCTCCTCAGCCGCCCGCCTGGCCTGCCTCGCCTCCTCGGCGATCTCCTCTTCCGTCTTGAGCCAGACGGGCGACTCGCAGCCCCTCAGGCCGATGAACTTGCCAATCTTCCGCCTCTTCTCCTCCAGGGGCAGGCTGGACGACCAGGTGATGGGGCACGGGTACTGGTACGTGAGGGTGGAGGGGTCCCGCTGGTGGTAGAAGCCCGCCATGTCCTCCATCTCGGCGTCGGTGAGGAGCCAGTAGTGGAGGATCGTCCGGGGGAACTTGGGGTGGACGTTTCCCGTTGTGATCTGGACCAGGGGCGAGAGGTGGAGGGCCATCTGCTCCAGCTTGCGCCGGAGCTCAGGGTTCCTGGATATCCGGCGGTGCATGAAGGACACCGGGGGTTGTTGTGTGTGGGACGGGACCTCGCGGCGCAACATCTTGCTCAAAGTTCGAGCTTCTTCTTTTTAGAGACTCCAGCTTGGTTAGATACCAGAGGCGGTCAGATACTAGAGGCGTCGATTACGACGGAACTTGAGCGGAATGGTGAGGCTGAATAATTTTTTTTTCAGGTCATGAGTTCATGAATAAGACACGGCAGCGAGTAATAGGAGTAATAGAAGCCGATTCTCTGCCTAAGAGAGGAGAACTGTAGAGAAATAGAATAAAGTTAATCTAAGAGGGAAAAAACCATAAGTAATACGAGAAGTAAGGAGTCATGTCCTATTTTAACCTGCTGGAGGGCAGCCGGGACCTGGCCATTTCATATATCCCCTCGCAGAGCCGTGAACGGACCTTGCCGGGGGGCCGAATACGTGTGCGTTGAACCGCTACCATCTGCTCTGCTTCGGGGGCAGTGACTGTGCTTTGTCCGGCGGCTTGTTCCAAAATCTCGGAAAGTTTGCGACGGACGCGGACGTCGCCCTGAGGTGAGACACTGCGCTGCACCTGAAGGCTGTGGGGGGGTTCGTATGGGCACGCTCGCTGTCCGTGTGCCTAAGTCAAAGGCTGCACAAACGGAAGTGTTGGAATGCGGACTGTGAGCCCAAGCCCTGGCCAGCGAAGGGGTGAGAGAGCCAAGACAGCAGGATTGGACCAACGTATGAGACAATGATTGCGGACTCTTTGCCGCCTGTGGTTATGTAACGCCGGGCAGTGACGACGCTGCTTCTATTGATGGGTTCTTTTTTTCTTTGACCTGGTGGGCAAATTCCTTGTCATGAAACAATGAGAGACAGATAAAGAAAGGCGATCGTGTAGGTGAAATTAGGGGGGCGTAGTTCTTTCGAAAGCTGATAATAGATGTGGCCATTCTTTGTCCTAACGCTGCGCTTTGCGTGCAGGAAATAGAATAAGCTGTTTTTTTCTGGAGGCCGACGTTTGGCCTGGCCATCTAGCGATTGAGATGGCCGTTCTATTCCAAAAGGATGCCTAAAGCCACTTCAGTTTGGCAATATGATCGACCTTTTTCTTGCTGCTCTTGACAAATCCAAGCGTCCGCAGCTCGGCAAGGCCACGGTAGAACAAAAGAAGGGCCTTGCGCTCGTCGCCTTCCTCCTCCCCAACAATGTCGAGAAAGGCCGTCCACAAATCCGCAACGTTGACCAAGCTGCCAGTTTCGAGGTAGAGCTGGTAGAGAATCGACGTTGCCGGCAACGTCGACTGAATGCCGCCCCCATTGTCTTTGCAGCAAGAGCAGCTCAGGTAGTCATGAGGACGCGTGAGGCTTCTCTCAAAGGTGGCGCGGGGCCGGGGAACAAACACGTCTCGAGCCGGCGACATCGAGTCATATGTCCAGCACTCGGAGAGAAAGACGTGCGAAACGGGTAGGACAGTCACATGCCGCGACAGCAATTTTGTGAGCTCGTCGATCAAGTCCGTATACTGCTTGTCCTCCTCGCTCAAGGCAGCAGAGTCTCGGCTGAGCTGGACTCTTTGCGCGATCACCGTTGTTCGCATTACTTTGGTCTGACCCATGTATTTGCTCCGCAGAGTGATGGACTTCTCCTGAGCTGACTTTGCGAGAGACTCAATGGCCTCTTGGAGCTTCTTTAGTGCCAGTTCGAAGAAGAGATCGTCGTCCCCTTCATATGGCGATAAATTCACTGTGGGTTCTCCAATCTGAAAGATCGAGAGCACTTGACGGATGAAAGAGAGGAGCTTGGGTACATCCATTCGTCGAACTTGCTCCGTCACTTCTGAGTCATCAATGCCTTCCATCATGGCCCTGCAGTACACAGTCGAGAAGTCACCGTCCATTGCTCCAGATGCCACAGCAAGCAGCAGAGAACGAAGCAGGCCGTTAACCCACCGCTGTTTCTCTTTCATGGCACCCTCGATCTGCTCAACTATATATGCATCGTTCTCCAAAAGAGATTGCGCATTTGATAGCTCTCCTGCATCATCAGACCCGATCAGCCTTTCCACGTGAACTCGGAAGGATGGTGTGTTCCGAATCGATTCAATATGCTCTGGCTGGAGTTGGAGTTGGGGCAGAGGGCCCATTAAAGAGCTTAGAGGGTTGGAGTAGAAGTGACACATGTATGCATACTACCTCGTCTATTAGCATATCAAATCAATCATCATGTCATTGCGAGGGTGAACAGTACTTTTAGAGAGCTAATGAAAGCCTGGATGCCAGCCATTTGGTCGCGCTGACGGTCCAGCATGCTTTTTAGAAGCGGTGAACCCAGTCTCAAGGGAACATCGCTAGCGGAGACTGCTATTTTGAAGATGGCCTCGAGGATAGCGTCAGTCTGGACCGCATCAAACTGCGCGCCGTAGATCTGTTGGCAAGCTGTCTTGAGCAAACGTGCTTGAAGGAGCTCAACCGAGGTAGCGATTCCGAAAAGGAGTGTGAACGGAATCCGGGGCCTCCAGGAGCTGGAGAAATTATCAGTTAGTTTAAATA